TGCATTGTGACTATGCTATATGTAAAAGTATATATAGGCAAAATTATAGAAAATTTACTATGGTATACAGGCCATTACAGAGGATAGCCTTTCTTAACGTTTGGTCTCTTAATGAGGCAGATCTTCATTGCTTCTGCGCAAAATCTTGCTACATGCTCTGTTACTGTGGGGTGTTCATCTATGAGCAGCAATTGCATGTGCTCGTGATCTGTGCATCCAGGATGTTTAGCAATCCATGGCGAAATAAATTTAGCACGGGGGTCTTCGTAAAAGGCACAGTGCAGGAGGACGTGTTCTATAGATTCAACCTCCCTTGAGTCACATGGACATAATCTAGCAGCCAGTGGAATTTTTTTATACCTTCCCTCCAAGACAGCGGAGGGGAGAAATGGCCTTTCAAATTCTTCTCCAAATCTGTGAGCACAGGAACAAGAGGAGCCATTGCTCAGAATTCTTCCACGAGAAGGAGACATTCTCCAACAGTTTCTCAAGCTAGATTCCCTGATAGTAGTGACTGTAGCACCACTCCTGAAAATAAAAATCTATGAGAAGGACTGTTCCCTCAAGCAGTCCTCCCCAAGGATTTCTATTTATCCACCTGGGTTACCCAATGAACCAATTTTCTGAGTTCACACAATTCACTGAACCATTGGACTCCTCAAACAGTCTCAGCTCACACAACCCACTCAGGCATTGAGAATCAAAGCAAGATTAAGATTAACCAAATTTTGCTTTTTTTTTCTTTTTTGGAAATGGAGCCATTGGCTCTTTAAATGACCAAGTGATGTGTGGGAAACCAGAGAGGTTGCAAATAACAATTCTGTGAAATCCATCTGCTCAGGTGAGGCCTTCCATTCCAGTGGAAGAACAATTATTTTGGAAATGAAGCACAACTGTGATGTCTCTGAGTTCTTGTTCATAAATATATCAGCTTCCCCAGGCCATCAACTTCACTTTTAAGTCAACAAAGTTGTTTTCTTAAGCTGGGAACTCTTTGTGCTCTCAACTTTTCTCCAGCATTAGTAGCTTCCTTATCTTCTAAGCTGCTGACTGTGATGATCACAGAATCATTGAGTTCAAAGGCCCCATTTAGGCCAGTGAGTTTAATCCTCTCCTTGGTACAGGTGTCCAAATTAAAAGGTTTATGATAGGTTCAGCTCTGCTTAAATACATCTAATCATTTCTGTGGGTAATTTTCCACCACCACTAGCTTATCTGCTCTGCTGATGATGATCGTGATGTGCTTAACTTGACAAGTTTAATTACAAAATTTAAAACAACAGTACAATGGATTCTCTCTCAGCTTCTTAGCCCTGTAGCTAAACTCACATGGGTGTTTCACTTGCATATCAGCTTATTCTTTTTTATCTTGGTTTCACTGTAGCTGAGACATTTTATCATTGATCTATCTCACATCAGTTCCTAGAGCTCCCAGTATTTAAGCAAAGTCTCATTAAAAGGCATGGTGTCTTCTGTTGAAACCAAGTCCAGTTTAAAGATAAGCAACTATAAAAAGGGAGATTAAAGACACCAATTGTTCATCATGGATTAGCACCAGGACAACAGATGAAGCTAGCAAGGGTATAGCTTTTTCAGTCACCTCTGTTACGATGATGGATATTTTAGGTATTCAGAATGAAATTAGATTTAATCCAATTTAAAGTAAACTCACCTCAACCAGTGGATACACTAGCTGACTGATTTCAGGAGCTCACCAAGAGAGACCTTGTTAATTTTTGGATGGGAATTTCCACTAGGAAACCACTTCCATACCACTCCCCAGGGAACTATATGGACACAGTCACCAGGAGTCAAAACAAATTCACTGAACCCAAGTTATTCATGATTACGTTTCACTGATTTCCTCTGATCCCCCTTTAAGGAGGCTAAATTTGGATTACTGAAGTATAGGAATGATTTCTAAATGGGTAGTTTTGCGTAGCCTATTCTATGCAAATGCAGTTTCTGCAGATCTGTGCCCGTTTTTTGTCCTCTATAGCTTCATGACTGTTGATTATTCACATCTTGGCAGCGCTGAAACCTCCATTCTGTTCTCATATATTAACTTTCCTCTGCTCTTTGAGCCATAAATTACTCAGCACTCTTTCAGATATTCCTTACTGCTTCCTGTTGTGTGATTTTTGTTTTATTTGTTTATAAATGTACCTTCACCCTTGGAACAAAAATAGTTAGGATGACCTATGGAATACTGAGTTAAAGCATCATCAAAAGACAAAAACAGAAATACAATAGCAGATGATAATAAAGCCCTTGGATATTCCCAAACCTTTTCAGATGGGTATTTTCAGGTCTGTACATTTGTAAAGTAAAAAGGTTGTGCTTTTTTTCAAAACCTACAGCATTTTGTAGCAGGATCCTACTTGGATCTCTTTCTGTTCCTCTTCTAATGCTGTTATTAGATTTGGTTCTTGTTCCTTTTTCACCCGCCAGTGAGTTTTGTACACCAGTCAATTAGATTCACTTATTTTAGCTGTCTCGCACATTTTTCCTGCCAAATGCCCTAGGGTTAGGGTTAGAGTTAGGTTTATTGATTAATGGTTGACAGTTTCATCTGTAAATTTATGTACCCTTGCCCTAATCACATCGTGCCAATGAGTTACAGGCAATTCTCATTATTCGCAGTAGTTATGTCCTGTGAGAATGCCACAAATACTGAATTAGCATATGCTGAAAACTCAGCTGGGAACGTGCATGTCGGGCGATTCCAATGTTTTACCAATCCGCATGTCTGCAAATAAATATGACAGTGCTGTGAGCATTGATTTTGGGGTTACAAAACCCTTTTTGTGAATAAGTCAATTTGCAAATAGGGCACCCACGAATAAGAGGATTGCCTGTATATCCTTGGCAGGCAAAATCTTTATGGTCATGAGATTTGAACACTAGTGGCAGGCAAAAAAGGAACAAGAGCCCTGGAAATTTAATTATTTATTTCTATTTATACCCAGCTTTCTATATATTCCCAAATAGGTTACAGGTACCTAGTTAAGGCTCCAAAAAGGAGGATATGCTTCTGCAATGGGCAGTAGGAATAACCTTGGGGGACAGGAGGAAGAGCTGCAACCAAGACAGCAGTCAGATAAAAGGAATCTGAGTCCGGGGAAGAAATGTAATTTGAGAAAGTGTCTCAGACATGACTCTCCCTGGTCCTCATGAAGATGAAAGGAGGGAGGGGGGAAGGGCATTTATCCTTGCAAGATTGATGTCAGCCCTTCAGGTAGACCAGACCAGGACACCTGAGTTATGAAAGATAATACTACTTTATTATAAGTTTACAGTAATAAAATCATTGCTTACACAGTTGTAGCTGCTACCTTGACTTTTGTGATCCCCCCTGCAGATACCTGTCTCTTCTGGGATCCTCAGAGCATGTCCAGAGCACCCTGGAGTGTGTGGGGCTACATTCTTTTTGTTCTGTAGGGGTTATCCTGTTGTGAAGAGTATGGGGGCAAAACAGGGGTCATACAGCCCTTTTAAGGGGCACCTGTCTTTTTCCACAGTGATGCCAACCTGATAAAATAGGCACTATGACATCACAATGGAAGCTCCACCCTTTTGAATTTGCATCATCAGATAGCACACATGATGTAATGGGTCAGTTTTGCATGGGTCATTCCTGGGCTCACCAATGCCATTAAGCCCCACACCCCCAAATGCCCCAGGCATACGGTATGTCCTCCCCCAACTCTGGAGACACTATACCATCACTGACCACCCCCCAGCAGCCCCTAAGAAGGCGAAGTGTGCCTCTCCCAGGAAGTTACCCATCCCTGACCTGAAACTCCCTGGAAGAAGGATAGAAGAAAAATAGGGTTTGTGGGGGTTTTTTAAGTTCTGGCTGCTATTCATATTTCTAGAGAGAAAGAATGTTTTTCTAAGAGGGGACCGTTTTTCCTTTAAGGTTTCTAAAATTCTGGTTCAGAGTCTGTGCCATTCACAAGGGACCCCAAGCATTCCCATCCTTTTTTCACTTCTCAGATGTTGGAATTTTTCAACCAGGCACAGGGTTGTTTTTACACTGATGTGCTACGCTGGTTCATTAGGAACTGAGCTCCTGAAATGACACAGCCCTTGTGCTAAGGTCATCCTTTGTTAACATGTTCCCTGGAAGCCCTGGTTTAATTGCGAGTCTGGAGATTTTCCACTAGTGGGTTCCCTTGCCTCCTTATCTCCAGAGGCAAGGCATCCTGGTGAACCAAATTTCTTGGTTTATTTGCTTTTGCAATAATGGCTTATCTGAATAGCCTTTATATAGCTTTACAGATATAGTTATCCATAAAGATAATCCCCCAAATACTTTTTAAAGATTGTCCAAAGTGCATAAATATGTCTTTTCTGATATTCCCTAGTCAGTTATAACGATCTGGTCTGCAAGGAGCTTTTGAGCAGCCTCTCTTCAGCGGTAGCCTCTGATTACATTGAGGTTCCCAAGGAAATATTGCAAATGTCGTGGAACGAAGATAGACTCATTCATACTTTCAATGGCATCACTTTTACTACGAGATCCTCACCAGAACTTTTAAATTCCCTGGTTTCGTTTGATGCTAGAGAAGATGATGTTCTGTTGGTTTCCTATCCAAAATCTGGTAAGGTTTGCTTGGAACTTGGCTGAAGGAGAATTTGTTATTTAGTTAAACAAACTAGAAAAGATTGCATGCAAGAGATTGGCTGCTGAAGAAATCAAAAGTGGGCTAACAATTCAGTACCGTAAGCAATGCAATAAATAAAATGAACCAGGTTAAAGGCTTAAGAACTGCATTCACACCCCCAACGTGCTAAACTAGGTTGGTTTTTAATAGTTGTTAGGTTGTTCGTTTTGTGGGTGCTTAGCATGTCATGTGAATCCAGCCCAATTGGTGACTTTTTGTGATTACTGTATATTGTGCATATTCTGTATATTGTGTTTTTGCAGCCAAGAACCTCATGGAGCCTCTTTTGAGCATTGTACATGGTTGGCCCAGATTGCCTACCAAGCTGTAAGTGGGGCAGATCTTCTGCAAAGTTACCTTCAGAAAATCCTTCAACCCACACTTTACAGAACCCTTTGGAACTGCACTCCTTCCCATATTTGAACCATTATCCGCAATGTATGGATGTATCCCCTAGATGCACATTTCCTTTTCTTCCTTCCTTTTCCTTTCTCCTAAATCCAATAAACTGGACCCAAAGTTATTTCTGCTCTGATCTACTCAGTTCCACCATTCTTTTGATTTGCTTTGAGAAAGTAATCGTATTCTTCCACGATTCCTCGGTTCTTCCAGTATGTTGTTCCAGCTTTTGATACGATGGCTGCATTTGGGGAAAGTCAACCTAACCATATCAACCATGCTGAAAACTAGATTAGTAAATCTGCTAGTTCTCAAGGTATTTTTGGAAAAAAGTTGAGGTTGAAATCCTCCAGTTTAGTCACTGGAGTCTATATTTAAGGGCACATATATGAGTGTGAGTGGAACCCACCCAATTAATAGGAATGTGCAGAGCATTGTGAGAGCAAAATCTGAGGAAATGGAGACATTTCCATTCCTCTCCCAGACTGTACTAATCCAACTGTTTTCTGGAACTAAATCCTCCAGGAAATGATTTATGATGTTTCAGATGTGGTCTGGTCCTGATATGGGTTCAGACCACTCCTGGTCCAGCCAGACTGGCACAGTCCTGAGGGAGAAATGAACATTGTGTACATCCTTAGGAGCTAGAGAGATGGATAAAGTCTAAAAGGACAAATAAAGTTTACTGAGGGAGTAACAGCCTTGATAGAAACATCTCTGTGCTTTCTGTCCCCAAGGTACAGGGAAAGAAGAAGAAAAAAGGAAGGAAATTTCTGTAGGAAACAGGCTGAAGGGAGAGCTGAAGAATATCCATCTTCCAATCACAGAAGAATAGAACAGCCATGAAGAAGGGAGCAAGGAACCGTATTTCTGGCTGTTTCTACTCTGAAGTCCCCTATTGGTCAACAGTAGAAATAGTGCAATGAATTGATTTCTAAAACAGGCTGAAGGGAGAGCTGAAGAATATCCATCTTCCAATCACAGAAGAATAGAACAGCCATGAAGAAGGGAGCAAGGAAGTCTCTCACTGGCTGTTTCTACTCTGAAGTCGACAGTAGAAATAGTGCAATGAATTGATTTCTACATCTACCTCTGCAACATTCACCTGTCTAGCCTATGCATTATTTTCTTCCCATTGGCCAACAGATGGGATGCTCCATCTGAGCCTGCTTTCATACGACCTCTGTCTTACACTGGTTTAACCCTTTGTCAGTCCTGTGCCTCTGTCTCTTCTTTTCCCCTTTAGGAACCCACTGGCTGGCGGAAATCCTTACACACATCTATGCATCCAAAGTGGCTTTGACGTCTCCCATTGAATTTGGAGATATTTCCAAACTGGACCAAATGAATCACCTTTCCTGCAAAAGGATCATACCGACCCACTTGGACAGCAACATGTTGCCACCAACATTCAGGGTCAAGCATTGCAAGGTTAAAAAAAAAACAATTAATTTAACTTAAGATCTTGGGAACATGAGGTATTGATTGCATTCACACTGGAGGCTTAACCTGGATCCTGAATAAACCCATGTCCTGGGTTCGCACAATGTAATCCCACAGTTTATTCAGTCATAAACTGGGTGTGTTTGTGCAACACTGCCCAACAACAAAAAGCAGTCTTCTAATAGGTGCATATTATTTTATTTACAAACTTTAACATTAATCAATATAAGCATGTTGAACAAATGTGTCTCCTTGCTCTTAATATAACCTGGTTAAGGAGATGTTGTGTGAATACAGCCGTAGTTCTTTAGTTTGCTTTTAAATTGGATCTGTGTGCCCTGATAATCACAATATTGTGCAATTTATAATATGCATATAAATGATAAATATGAGTACCCGATGGTCCTTTTAATAAAAATATTTTTTCCAAATCAACAATATCTGTACTTCGTTGAAAACTGCTACAGTCATAAGTTTCACCAATCGAAAAGTGCTATGCACAGTTTTGTTTGCCCTTTAATTACATGTAATAGTAAAAAATACGTAATCATTTTCACCTTTTTAATGATGCTTTAATTTATATTAATTAATTAAAACAAAGAAAAAAGCAAAAACAAAGAAAAGGGAATGGATTACATATACATACATAAAATAAACTTTACACTAGAGCAAAAGTTGAAGTGAAAATATGATTATATTAAAAAATTAAGGCAAAAGAAACAAAAGAAAAACTTTATAGGAAGAAGCATTCTAGGCCCTTCCTCCTTTTTCCCCCCTTCTTTTTTCCCAAATGTTAATTGTTAGTCAAATATGATTATACCATGTTTTGGCATTTACAATTATTGCTCATTTCTCTTTGGATCATTTTAATTATTTTTAAAGTGTTTCTCTTCCTCTTCAAAAGCCCTATCCTAAGTGTCTTAGTGTTTTGTCCAATATGTTGTATATAAGGGCACCATTCCTGCTTGAATTTTCATCATCATCGCCTTCATCAACTACAATTCCATTAAAAAAAGAAACACAATTAAATACAATCTTTCAGCCTCCCTGCCATGATTTTTGTCCATACTGCAAGGGAAGATGAATGCACGCTCTACGTGGTCTAAAGCAATGCTTCCTAACCTGAGAAACTTCCAGATGTGTGAACTTCAACTCCCAGCATTCTCAGTAATGGCCAAGCTGGTTATGGGAAGTTGCTGAGAAACATGGGTCTGAAACAGACACTCTGCAAGAAAGAGATTTATGTTGGAACCATGGGAAGAAGTTCAAACTGTTCTCCTAGTGAATCTAATTATGTTTAGTCCTGTCCATTCACTAACAAGCTGTTTTAATTTTTTTTTTTTTAAGTTTATGGAACGTGGCACTTCTAGAGCAGTAACACCTGACAACTTTCAGGTCTTTTGAACATTAAATCCCACTGTACCCAGTTATGGGCTCTTTTATCTGAATCAGCACATCTTCTGGGCTTATACAGTGCCCAGAATCATAATTATTCCAACAGACTGGGTTTGTCCAATATGGCAAGCCACCTCACCCCCATCAAACCAACATTTAAAATTAAGCAAATTTAGTATGTTGCATAATTGTGGATGCTAGGTTTTTAACTGTCCTGGATGAACCCAGACTTTGGGTCCCATTGTAACGCACTGTATCTATTTTGTAGGCTATTTATATTGTCAGAAATCCAAAGGATATTGCTGTATCCATGTTCCATTACTATCAAGAGAATCCAAACCTCCCCACCATAGATTCCTGGCCGAATTTCCTGGAGATGTTCTTAAAAGGAGATGGTAAGATTAAATTGTGGCTATATTGATGGGAAATGCGTTGAGTTCAATTAATCAGGAGGGCATCAGGTCAGGAAAATTTGATTCAGAACATATCAAAGCCTCTGAAATATAGAAAAAATATTCATATTCCTGGTTTGGCTGATGTGTTCATCAGCTATAAAATGTGCCCTGTCTGCATGGCATGGAGAAAGTAGATAAGGAAATAGTTTTATCTCTCCTCAGATGCTAGGAAAAGAGGTCATCCAATGAAACTGATTGGAAGGAGATTTAGAACAGGCAGAAGAAAGTTCTTCACCCACCTCATAATTAACTTGAGGAATTTCTGATCTGAAGGTGTATTGAAGGCTGCTAACTGGGTTGGCTTAGAAGGGATATGTAAATTCATGGACGAAAGATCTGTCACTGGGGTTGGTCTTAAAAGCTACATGTTGCCACTGGATTGGGGAGTAGCATGCCTCAAAATACTAGTTGCAGCAGGGAACAAAAGCCAAAGAGGACTATGTCTTCATCTCCTAATTGTGAGCACCCCAGAGCATTTTGTTGGCTGCTGTGAGAAACAAAATGCTGGACTAAGATGGTCCTTGGCCTGATCCAGTAGGGGTATTCATATATTATGTTCTTATAACTCTATATATTCTTCTAACTGTATAACTCCTAGTGTCCACAGATGGGCATCTCTTGTGAAATGAACTCTTGCTATTGACGATCACAGACTATAAGTCATTATTTGGACTGAGTCAGGATTGCTTAAATCCTGGCAAACTTCTGTGGCCACAACAGGACAATTATTTCCCAGTCTCTTACTATTCTCTCTTTTAAGAGAGAATAAGAAGTTCTGAATGGATTGCAGAGTGGACCCTGCTACAGTTTCAGAAGGCAACCCAGGACTGATGGTGACTTGGAGCCCAGCCACTAGCTGCTGCCCTTGCAATCTGCCACTTCAGGTAGTTGCTTTTTAAGATGCCCAGCCTTCAGGGGTAGCTCAATGCCTTGCTAGCCATCCAATGGTCAATGCAGTAGAGTTGACTGCAGCAGTTACCTGCACACGCAACTCACCATATATCCTTCTTAGAACATGCATAAGATGGTGACTGGCCAGAAACTGAGCGGTGAGGTGCTGCCATTAAATGGGTATGGGGAGGACAACTCCTCCAATCTCAAGTGGTGGGCCCTCCTCATATTCTAGGAAGATGGTCTTCTTGGGACATCCTGGGTGAGTTGTGTAGCAGTGAAGGTAGTGTACCGGGACCACAGGTATCCAATTGCAAGCCCCCAGCTGATTAAAGATATCACTGGATCACTTTGTGGAAGTCATTGCCTCTCAGCTTGACTCTCCTCCCAAATTTGTGGTGAGGATAAAATAAGGGACACCTTCCACATCAGTCTCCTTGAACTCAGAGAAAAGGAGCCATATAAATCCAATGAATGAATGAATGAATGAATGACACAGTCTCCAATGACCATTCACTTGCTTTCTCCCTCTGTATCAAGTTTATACTACTGCCCAAAAGAAGAGGATCAAGCAGTAGAGATTTTTCTTCTTGCCCTGTTAAGAGATGCAATCTAGTAGTGAGTCCTTGGTCTTGGACTGCCCCTTGACAGTTCCCCAATAATACAATCCTCCAACAAAGCTCTGTCTGCCATGATAATATCACCTTCCTAGTGGTTTCCTTGGTTTCTGGTCTCTGGCCATAAGTTCTGATGCCCCAGGTGCTTTGGGTTTGTATTTGTAAACACCAGGTCTGCATTCTTAACACCTCCTGCCTTGCACCTGGGTTGGTTATTTTGCACTGTCAGATCCAAGTCACAAGGGCATAGGACTTGGCCAGCAACTTGAATTCCTTGTTGAGGTCAAGAGTGGAAGGATTTTGTTATCTCAATACTGTTCATGCTGATTTACTGCATGGTTGTAAAAGCTGACAATCCAAAGATCAGCCAAGAAATAAATAGAACTGATGTCATTAACGGAAGAAAACAAAGTGGTATGGTGATGTGAGAAGAAAGGGAAGAAGGAAGGGAAGGGAAGATGTTTATTTTATATAATAGCTATACTCATATATGTACTAAGCTCTAAATCCGGGTTAGTCCAGCAGAATTTATGTATTCTCATGAACGTGCTATGTCCAAATAAATAAATTCCCACAATATGCTGAAGCACATTATCCAACTCCTTTTTAGCCTACTCTAGCGTGTTGTGTAAGTTCAGCCATTGTGCTCCTGAACTTGGTTGACCCCTTCCTTCCTTCCTTCCTTCCTTCCTTCCTTCCTTCCTTCCTTCCTTCCTGCTGTACCG